TACACTTAACACTTGTAAGTACGGTACTGATACGGCTGTGAAAAAGCACTGAAAATGGCACCGGCTGTGCTCAGGAAATACGCCAGTTTAAACACAGTCAATTTGCCTTCACTTCTTGTGGAAATTTAATCCCTTAATTCTTAAATATCTCAATTTGATTTCTTTCTTTTTTTATACAGGGTGAAAAAAAGATCAGATTTAACAGGTGCCTTTAAATTAGAACCTCTTTACCTGCAGCATCACCATCAGGAGTCTGGTAATTTTATAACTAAATGAGATTGTTGTTTTTATTATTATTATTATTATTATTATTATTATTTTGTTTGCATGGTGATATTTAATGGAAAAAAGGACTTAAGATGACAACCGAAATTCTTGAAACCACCTAAGTTGTTTAGGAGCCTATTTCCATTTTCAAAGTGCCCCAGGGAGTTAGGCTTATTAAAGTGCAAACACATGTCTAGTGAGATTTTAGTGAGTATAAAAAAAAAAAAGCAATTGATGGAAAGCCATTTTGTAAAGCATTATATTAATACTTTTGTATTGGGATTTCCTCAGCTCCAGATTTGCCACTGACTCTTTGTAGGAGTGTTGAGAAAATTCTTAATGATCTTTTGGTAGTCAGATAAACATATTATTGGGTGCTGGGTATTGAGTTCCTTTACCTGCCTCCCCCAGCGTACCTTTCTCCAGGACGATTTCAAGATCTGATTTGGTTTTAGGGTTTCCAAAGTCTGTGACCTTTTTTCTTAGCTATGCATGCAAGCTCTGATTCAGATTTTCAAATACCCACATCAGAAGCAAACATTCCCTGAAGCCACAAAGAAGGGGTGAGCTGTGTTTGACACCTGTGCTCTGTTTTGAATGATGGCTATCTGGGACATTATCCTGTTGCTCTCACGTTCTTACATTGGTCACAGAGAAGGAGTTAAGTGCAGGCTATCTATCAGTCTTGTACCTAAAGCTCTTTGCAAAATTCTCACAGCAAACTTACAAATCTTAGGCCCTGTACAAAGCTCCTTAACGGATCAGTGCTACTCCTCGTGCATACCTAGCAACTGCAGAGTGGCATTTGCCACCCTGAAGCCTGTTTCTACACATAATAAATGATTAATTGTGAAGAAGGTCACAGCAGTGCAGTTTCATCCAACATGTGGTGCAAGCTCCCTCATAACTTTCTCAAGAGGGTGAATCACATGTGGATGTTCATAACATTTACCCTAACTCAAATCTTTCCTGGAATTGCTGGTGCTGATCTGTGTTCAGAAGTGTATCCCGAGTACTTTTCTCTCTGTTATGGCTATGAACTCATTGACATTTAAATTAATACCACCGAGAATTCCACCACTCACGAAAAAGCCCTAGTAAAAATGGATTCCTGTGCCTTAGTCCTGAACTGGCAGAAATTTTGCATTTATTTCTTTTCTACATTTCCATGCAATGCAAATATAAAACAATGCAACAAACAGGAAAATGCAGTAACTCTGGAGCTGAGGTTCAACTTCCAAAGAAGTTGAACTTGTTAAGAAAAAAATATACTGTTTTTTTGCCTTTTTTAATGAAAAATAAATCCTATGGCAAATATACTTACATCACTAGCTTTTACTTAACATACATGAAATATTCTTATCTTGAGGACAAATAATGCAACCTTAACTAAAGAGAAAAGATGTCTTTGTGACAACTGACGGTGCTGGTACAAGAACCTTAGGTTTTCCCCAGGTTAAATAACACCAGAAGAAAATCAAAACTTTCTTAAAACTAGGTGCTTTCAATGAGGTCACCTAGTTGACCTGAAAATTTTTATCTCTTGGTTGGATAATAAGTTATTCAGCCTTCGTTTTGCCTTCAGAAGTTGTTAGTATGTTATGTGACCTGGACATAATGATTCCAAATAGATCAGCTGATTACTAGCAGTCTAGTGATGTTAAATTTTTCTATGCTCTATTCCCATTTGATAGTAATTTTCCAAAGAGCTGGACAACACTTTTTAAATGCAAATGCCTCTAGTTAAACTGTTAAATCCAATCCACACTTATGCCTTCAATAAAAATAGTCAAATTTGCAAAGGTGCTAGGCTGTTACAGTCCCTATTGATCCCTGTGTGATTTATGGGATGTCAGTGCTCTTGGAAATAGGACTTATCTAATGGAGGGTCTTATTTTCCGAGTATGTCTCATGTCTGAGAATTCCCATCATGGTTTACAAGGCAAATGAAGTAGCATTTTTGAATTCGTTCATCTCTCACTCAAGAATTTAAATGAGCGGAAAAATAGATCTATCTGTGAGCAATTACTCTTAATAACCATATGGCAATTATGCATGTCCCAAGGGGAAAGTCTTTATTTTGTCATTAATTATAATTTTACGTGATTTGCATCATCACTTCAGGAAGATTATACTAGCCTGCCTGGCAACCCAGGATATAGGTCAAATCCTAATGGCAGTGTTAGAAGAATGCAGCTTTATACTCTGTTGTGAATGCCACATATGCTCCCACAATGCAATTCCTCCTGGTTAAATGCAGATGTAAGACTAAGGCTTGTAATCAAGGACTAATCATTGATTGCGTTCTGCTTCACAGCTTGTGAAAGGCGTTGTTGTGGATCATTAGACATAGCCCCTTACAGGAGCGTAGGATTATTTATCTATCACCAGTTGCTTTACTCTCTTTGCTACCAGTCTTGCAGCTATCAAACAAAAATGGCTGCTACAATGCTGAAGAATATGAATGTTACCCAAATACCTCGTTACCGAGCTGAGACAACCATGTTCGTTTTCTAAAGTCCAGGAGCAGGTCAATGACTGTTGGTTGTTGTGTGGGGGTTTTTTTCTCATCTGGAAAATAACCTAGTAACAGGTTCAAGAACCAAATGGCTATATGTTGCAGGGAGGAAGGACCATGTTTTTTCTTATGTTTTGGCTGCATAGATGAGAGAACATTGTCAAGAGGGCTTGTAACACAGGAAATACAGTCTTTTTACCCCCAGAAAATACAAAGGCTGCGAATTGCATAAATGTTGTAAACTGGTCAAATTCAGAAGCTACAGTTCTATATGGTGCCTTCCAGTTCATAATTCCAGAACTTAAACAGCACTTTCTCATGGAATTTAAGTACATACTTTCCTACAAAGCTTATGCTCCACTGCAGAATAATAAAGCAGAATAAGAAAAGTCAGTATAATTTCTGTCACTGTCTTACAGCAAGTAATCCAGCTTTATGTTACGGTTTCCTTCACTGTGAAATCAGTGTCATTACCTGATTCAAAGAAAAGGTAGATGCATCTTGCCACTGTGTGCTCATACAAAAGATAACTACTCTTGCCTCCCTGGACTGCTTTGTGGCTTGGTCAGTCTGTGTTTTGTAAGGGGCTTTGACTACATGAAATGAAAAGCTATAAAAACCCGCAGAATCCTATTCTCCAAACAGGAAGAGGTCAATTCTGAATCAAATTTTCAAGTCACCTATTAGACATGCTGAAGAATTAGCAACAAATATGTGAATGAGTATAAAAGGTAGCTAGAAGCAGAGAATGAGTGATGAAGTGCATTTGGGGGTTCTGCAAACTGTTTCAAACAAAATTAGTAATTGCCATACTTCTTTTCCTTGCATGAGAAAAATAAACACAGTATTTAGTCCATCATCTCCACAGGATCTGTAAGTGTAACAGAAAGGAAAATTGTGTTTCTTCTCATGAAAACTGTTTAATTTGTTAGTGGTATATTCTGATGAGCTAAGGAATGAAGCTTGCTAGAAGCACCTTCATTTAGCGTGCTGCCAAGTATCCTACTAGGTGTTTAGTGGTCCTTCTGACACTGATGGTGCTGAAGTTTGTAGCAAACATAAAGGATAGCTGAGATACAGCTTTTTCAATAGCATTAGAATAATTGTAGGTTTTGGCTGTTTTGAAGAAGCAATATGAACATTTTTTTCTTTTAACTTCCAGGCCTTGTAACAGATTATCGGGTAAGTACAGTACCAATGTAATAATCAATACTACTACTTGTATACACTGATATTTCCAGGACTTTTATTTTCTATTACTGTCATAAATCTCAAAATGTTATGTTTCTTTCCAGGAAGGATGCAGCTTGCTAATTTTTTAACATGCTTCAAGCTGAAACTTTAAATTATTTTTTTGAAAAAAACTTGTTTAAAAGCAGAAGTCATCTTGCATGTGTAATATCTCAAGGCCTAGGTAGTAGAAAGAAATGTCCTAAACATTATTTTTCCTTAACATAGTGAATAATACATTTTTTTAAATGAACTTGTGCTTTAAGCTTTAGCTAGTAGAAACGCTGTTGTTTTGAAATGGAAAATGTGGCTGTCGTTGTAGATGCTAGCCCCACAGCTGTAAGCAAGCCAGTTTACACAAGCTTCTAAGATACTTATTTTTCCAAAGCCTTCAAGGATAATTCAGGATGCACAAAAAAAAATTGACTTGCCTTGTGGCCCTTCCATTCTGACACCAATTTCCTTTTCCAATTTTCATTTTAAAATTTTGACTATTAAACAGTCACATCAGGGCATTAACCAGAAATAGACATTTCTATTATCATTTGACCCACCTCTAGCAACTACCTGCAGGATGTGGCAATGCAATCTGCTTCAAAATCATTGCAGAACACACAATTTCTGCAGTATCACTGCAAGGGTGACTTCTAACGTGGGTACCCTCCCTTGTCCCTGGCTTGCAGCACTGGCAAATCCCCCTGGGGAGGAGGTTCCGCTCCCTGAAGCTCTGGTTCGTGCTGAGGATGTACGGGGTGACAGGACTGCAGGAGCACATCCGCAAGGTGACTGGAATTTGCTTTCTTGGGTAACCTGTGGTGGGACGGCAAGGGAAAATGAGCTTGCTACCTATCTACTCTCCGTGACTTCTGTACACGACAGAAAGCACAGGCAACAGGTTTTGGATAGCTGGGTTCAACAGGGGTACTGCTTGTTTGCCCCACATAGTATCACAGTTTCATATCACAGCAGGATCAGAACTGTCATCCATTTTGTGCTAATCTTTAGGGAAGACAAGTCTAGGAATTTGGAATTTCTACAGCGTGGGACCATAGTTCCCTCTGAAATTAAGCCAGAGAGTTTTAATGGTTTTATTGGGGGAAAACATGTTTATTCATGCCTTCTTTTTTTTATTAAGGTGCATGCATTGATAGCATGTTTAGATTATGATTAAGGTCACTGGGCTGCATTTATGGTGCGGTAACTTACTGGGCATGTCTACCTCTGCTGTTTCTTTGTTTCCTGTTTAAAATCCGCCTTCTTTTTTAAAAATAAGGATGTGTACAATTTACAGTTTGTTAACATTGTTACGAATAAGTACTAAGTTTATTCTTCGTGTAAAAAGAAGAGGTTTTTTAATCACTAAAAAGCACACCTGGCGCCAGTCTAAATTATATATAAGCTTCCTCTGTAGCAGTAGAGTCAAATTCAAGCATACCTTTCATCTTTATGATGTTTAGGGAAACTTCTAGCAAGGGGAGATCCATGACTTGGCTCTAAATATTTACAAAAATATCCATTAGCTAAGAGTCTGGTCTAGTATACCAAACTCTCTGCAGACACACATTCCTTTCTGTTGTGGTACCAAACAGATTAATTCCTAAGTAAGGCTTTTTCCACTGTTGTAAAATTGCTGCATGAGCAAGTCTCTTCCAATTTGAAAAGGTTCTGGGATGGAGGGTACCCTCTTTGCTTTTCATTTTTATCACACTATAATTTTCAACTGATTATACAGATATCAGAGTTGGCTTTTTATCCTTAATCATAGAATCATAGAATGTTTTGGGTTGGAAGGGACCCCTAGAGGTCATCTAGTCCAACCCCACTGCAGTGAGCAAGGACACCGCTAACTAGATCAGGTTGCTCAGAGCCCCATCCAATCTGGTCTTGAATGTTTCCAGGGATGGTGCCTCCACTACCTCTCTGGGCAACCCGTTCCAGTGTTTCACCACCCTCATTGTAAAGAATTTCTTCCTTATATCTAGTCTAAACCTACCCTGGTTTAGTTTAAAACCATTACCCCTTGTCCTGTCACAGCTGGCCCTACTAAAAAGATTTTCCCCATCTTTCCTATAGGCCCCCTTTAGGTACTGAAAGGCCGCAATCAGGTCTCCCCGCAGCCTTCTCTTCTCCAGGCTGAACAACCCCAACTCTCAGCCTGTCCTCATAGGAGAAGTGCTCCAGCCCTCGCATCATTTTTGTGGCCCTCCTCTGGACCCGCTCCAACACTTCCATGTCCTT